AATTACATTTTATGTACTTTTGAGAACATTCTAAATTTTTCCTAAAAAATTCTTCTTGCATCACGTTTATTGCAGTGGCATGCGCATTAATTTGAGAATTGATTTTTGCAAGAATACCCAGATTATAATTAAATTTTCAGCACTTATTCACAAATTAATGAAATTATTTTTTTAAATTTTACACATTTCCACACCTTAATTTTGTGAAAACTTCAGAAATTCAACAAGATTTTTACTGACTATATTAGTTAAAAGTACATTTTTTTTTGTTTTTTTTTTTTTTAAAGAATTTAAATGACAATTTTTTGGGGTTGGGGGAAAAATCCAACCTAGTCTTACCAAAGAACTGTTCTGAATCAAAAAATTAAATAAAACTAAGAAATTATTTAATTAAAAAAGCATTTAATTGATTTTATGAATAACATATAGACAATATTGGCTGAAGAAAACAATTTTTTTTTTAAACCAAAAATGAATTTTTACAATATTTTTTTACAATTTTAAATTTAATAATTTATAAAATCTTAAATCTTTTCAAATTAATTTTCTACAAGATAATTCTTATTAAATATTATTAAAACTATATTTACTGATGACCCCAAATATATACTTTTTATTTGCAGAACTCAACTTAGAAACTGCACTCACATTGCTGACTGCATGCTATTACAAATTGAGTAAAAACGACAGCATCAATAGTAGGCCGATTTATAAATGCTAATCTACTGTTTATTTATTTCAAAAATCTTCCCCAGTTTTTATATATGCAGACCAGTTAATTGTGTCAAAAGTAGATACTAACTACTCATCACCAATCCAACAATTTTTTTTTTTTTGGCTCCAGTCATGGCTCAAATAAATACAAGAAATGCTTCTCATGGTGTGAAGTACAAATGTCCATGAGTTATATTTTTCTTTTTCCTTGTTTAACAAATATATACTGATTTACAGGGTATTTGAAAACTAAGATGAAGTGGTTAGCTGTTGGGATAAGTGTCTTATAATGCAATCTGACAAATTCACTTTATCTGGCCCCCTAAAATGCTGTATTAGTCATTGTGAAAAAATACTTTGCTTTTGATTTTCCATAAACAATTGTCTTTGTAAGTTAAAATTTAAGTAAAAAAAAAGAAAAAACATGTCAACTAACTGATGCATTTCCAGCAGTTACAACTCCACCTTTTTTAAAAAGTGGAGGCAATTTGGACAAACTTTCTTTATTTGTTTCTCTTGGGTGTTCATCAACCTCAAAATTTTCTGGACCTTTAAAAAAAGAAAAAATTAAAATTTTCATTTCTTAGATCTACAAAACTATTCAAAATATTAATCTATGAACAAATTTGCAACACTATAATTCATGACATTACATTTTGCAGGCAAATAGTCAGGTCAAAACCAGACAATTCTCTTTGAAAAATTATGCCTGTGGACATAGCAAAGAATGCACCAACTTTAGTGTACATGAAATATTTCATAGAACATCATACTTTTACACTTTCTTTATATGTTAACTCCTTTTATATATCAATAAAAGCTATAATAAACATAAATAAACCCTACACTTAAAAAAAATTCTTTTTTTACCAAGCATTCCAATTTTTAAGCACAATCATGCATTTTCCTGCAATTTCAAAGTTAACATACATTTAGGTGGTTGGTAATTTTGTAGTACTAAGCTGATGACTTCATAAAGATTGTGTTGCACTAGAATTTCAAGCAAAACATATTCACTTGTCTTGAGAGTGTCCTTTTTTTTCTTTTTTTTTATCCAAGCCAACCAATCAGAAATACACAAATCTCTGTCAAAAAATAAAAAATTTTAAAGTTATGGATTTATATCTATCAATTTTATCCTCCAACCCAGGTTAAATGAAAAATTTTAGAAGACAATGGAGTTACCTTTCTTGCCTTTTAGTACAATAGGAGCAATCTCCATATTAAATTTTCCAGCCTTTTGTGCTGAAAAAAAAAAAAAAAATACAAAAAACAAACCTTAACTATGGACTAATTTTTCAATAACCCTATCCCAGCAACAGGAAAACATATCAAAGTGTAAGATCCTTCTGTTTGTCTTGTCTGGATTTTGCATGATCACAGCAACTCTCTCAACTGAGAAAAACACTGGTGTTACATAGTTCTCCCAGTCCAAGACCCATGCTGACTATTGACCTAGTATAGTTCATATGCAAGTAGTCAGTGCCACCTACTCCAAGTAGAATGTCTTCTCTCAATAGCCCATTGTGGAAGGGGATACAATTCCTGGTGCTTACAGCACTACACACAACCAACTCCGTCTTTTATTGACCTGACCCGATTCTCTGTTACAATACTCAACAAAAAAAATTAAAACAAACTGGATCTTATTCAGGATACAACATGAAAGGTGACAGGTGTAATTAATACAGCTGTGGACATCATTAAGACATTTTCAGAAAATTAATTCAGGAGTGTTAAAGTTCACTTCCATTTCTTTTTGATATCACTGGAACCAGTACATCAATTTGCCTCAACAGTTACATCTATATAATTTCACATATGAGACTTGGGGTAACAAGTTGGTTCAATTTTTGGGCACTCCTCAATGATACTGCATATTCAAATTGTTTACCCCAGGCCAATATTATCAGGAAGTCTATAAACCTCTCTCTTGACTGGTTTCTAACACATCTATTTATCATCCCTCAGTTGCATCTGTCTTTCAGCAGAGTGCAATCAGGGGCAAGTCCATCAAAGGACAGTCACAACTGAGGAAAATTATACTGAGAGGTGCCCAGCCCTGGGGAACAGCTGCTTAAGGCCATGCCCTCTCATTGCATCAGAGACAAGGATGGTGCTCGCACCCAGGCCAGCACAACCAACAATTGGGGGGCTGCAAGCAATTTTTGTTCCTGGCCCATGTGTACATGCTCAGGTCCCCACCTTAAAAAAGGACTGTCACAACTCATCTCAGTGAGGAAACAAAATAAATACCCTGATGTTATTATAAACACAATGTATCCTCTGTTCATCCTCAGGTGTCTATTGATTGGCTGATATGGGAATATTTCTTGATTATTGTGATGGATGCTTCAGCCTTTGGAATTTCAAACCAAACCATTTATTTGGCTCACCATGGTTAGATTGGAACAATCACCTGAAGAAGGCCAAACATATGGCAATGAAGAGGAGAATAACAGTCTGAATAACGTAAGTAATCATAATACCTCATCTCAGAGGTGCGTGTGTGTGTGTATATATATATATAAGCTGAAATTCTAAAATCTTGTCTCATATCCATCTTAAACCGAAATATCAGTGAACAACAAAAACAAAGGAATTGGTCTTGCCATTCCAATACTTTTCAAAATGACTATATATATAAAATTACATTCTTTTTTCCTATGTGTACACATAACAAACCCACTATACCCTGTTACACTGAAGTTACTAAGCTCAAATAGTTATCAATCAAATATTGCAATAACAATCATAATTATGAATGAAGGACATTCTTTAAAGAAGTAAGGGGGTACAAATAAAAAGATTTAAAATTGACAAATTTTTTTCCCCCATTTTACTGAAAATGTTAAATACATGAGAGCATTATCACCTTCTTTATCTTCTCTTTTTCCCACTGAAACAAAACAGTGTCTCATATCATTTTCCATCTTTCCTTGTGATCTATTATTATTGGCAGGATAGAACATATATGCTAACTAAAGAACAGGCACAATTATAATAGATCATGAAAACTTTACAATTTGATTGACTGAATTATAATATCAGGTTACAATTTCTCATTTTATCGATGAGACAATGAAAGTATTATGTCAGCACATAGGAGGGAAAGAAAAAATAAAAAACTTTTCATCAAAGTGTGATGTAAAAAATTAAAATATTCCCTGGATAATCAAGTCAAGAAGCTTATGTTGAATTATCAAAATTTAGGAAAGGTCAAAGGGTGATTAAAGTCTTTCATTAAAAAAAAATGTACAAACCAGCTATCCACCGTGTCTGTGATCTAAGAGCAACTTCATCAACTTCATCACGACATAGATTATATTTCACAGCCAAGTTTTCAGCTGTAATGGCCATGGGCATTTTGATATGTGCATCAGTCAAACCGTGCCAGAGGACATCTTCCAACTGGAAAAGATAAAAATAAAAAATAAACATTTAAGCCTACCAGCACATTTATTTTAGAGAAAGAAAATATTTCTTTATCTTTTCACAAGGAGAGTGACTCCTTGCACCTTCTCAATTTAACATTTTCAGCTGTCATAAATGGGGTGACTGAATTTAATCAATTGCTACACCTACTACTAGGAAAGTTGGTTCACGGTGTCATACTAAACAATATTTTTTGTTACAATCTCAACTATTCATCCATGCTTCAAATATTGCTGCCACATCTGGTCTGGTGCTTCTGATACATATTTAGAGATTCTTGTTAAAATACAAAGAAGAATCTGCAATGTTATTGGCATCTCAACTTTAGTCACTTTCCCACCATCATAACAGCTTTCCTGTGCCTTTTCTATATTTTTTTTGGTAATTTTTCTAATGTGCTTTCCTCTCTGGTACCTAGACTTTATGAATTTAAGTGCAGTACTAGATTGCCAATTAGGTATCATCATTTTGATTTGAAAATGCTACATATAACCATAAGTTCTATGCTAAGAATTTCTTATTTCAAACTTCATTTGTGGAACTCTTGGTTTCCTGCTTTCCAGTTGAGATTCTAGCAAAAAATTGTCTAGTATGACCTTCAAAAATTTAAATGCAATGTCAATCACTATCTTCTGGATTCTTAATTTTTGTTCTTATATTATTCTTTGGCCTCAATGTTTTCTTTTTTTCCATATTCTTTCATACTCAATAACTACTAATCCCTTAATAGTTTTATTGCCTTACTTAGGATTAAACAAAAAAAATTTAGTCATTATTACAGTACTAGTGTGTCCACGCCATCAAAATTGACAGCAAGAAGGAATGTTTTATAAGTAACATGTATTATAATTTTCATTTAATCCATGTACAATTTTGTAATTTAAAATAGTTCATTGTTAACATTCATAATTGAACAGTGTACAATTTATAAACACCTCAGGAAAGATATCCATATTTTATCCTTAGAAATGTTACATATTTACAACCAAAATGTTTTTTAACTGCAAAATTTCCAAAAGCATAAAAACAAAGCTGTCTATCCTTCTACTTGGGTTTTTGTTAAATGTCAAAATTCTAAGTGTCCTGATTCTATACAATTTAGTTCTTACTGTGAACCGTGTCGCCCTAGAGAGCAGTTCTAGTTGTAGATCACTTTTTGCATATGGACATGAATGGGGTCTTTTGCACACTGCCCCCCAATTGTTACACACACACAAAAAAAAAACAACATATGTGGCATATTATATTTGCAGATGAATCTCATAACCCATTACAGTTGCAGAGGCACCAGATATACAGCAGCCACAACAGTAGTGGTGGGCCTAGTCTAAGTGTATTTGAGCAAAAGTGAATATAACAAACCCAACAGGAATTGAAACTCAGCTCTCCAATTAACAATTCCAAGCTCTTATTCATTACACCACCCACACATCCAAGCAGGTCACTGAAGACATTAAACTACATCCGCATCCTGAGTAAGACGTTAAACAACATCCAGCAGCAAGGCCTCTGAGCAGGAGGTTTTGAGGAGCATGGAACCACCTCTTAATTGCTGGTGTTTCCAGATCCACCCTGACCCAGGGTGGTAGTACCTGTTAGGATCCCAGCTATAGGCAAATAGTTAACTATTACCAGTAATACAATTTGGAAGGAAATATATTACCAGAAACAGATTTTTTGATAAAACAAAATATTACCAGCAATAAAAATTTTTGTCAGCATTAAATAACCCATTGAGGTTGATATGCCATAAAACAAAATAAACCAAACCAATCTAAACCAAACAATACATATTCTATTCATACGAATCTATCCTAAAAATGTTGTCAGCATTAAATAACCCATTGAGGTTGATATGCCGTAAAACAAAATAAACCGAACCAAACCAGGCCCAATGTTGCTTAGCTTCAGTGATCCTTTTGAAAGATGAGACAGGTTACATAGGAGTCTGCCATTTTAATGTTCAATTATTTACCATATCAAACTAAAACATTCTATTTCACATGTAAAGGCATCTACATCAGAAGAAGAATGAGAATTTGGAACATTGAAAAGTTTTATACACACACACACACACAATTTAAAAGAAAAAAAACAATACCATTTCCCTATTTCTGTGAAATAGAATGTTTTTTAATGTACCTATTCTATGTAATTGTCCAATAATACTAGGGAGAATTTTTAAGTGTCTTGACAAAAGGTTATATAACCACAAATGTATTTGACTTAGTGATACGCAATAACAAACTCCCAACCAGAAAATATAAAATTTGTCAAAGCTGGATCAAAATAAAAACCAACACAGAACTAGATCCAACTATCTAACAAAATCAAACAACTGACAGATGAAACTAGACCTAAGGAAACCATTAAAATTCCCAGAACACATTATCGCAACATCACTGAGACCTGACATTATCATTTTTTCAAATAAAGAAAAAAAATTTTAATTATATATGAATTAACCATCCCTTGGAAAAAGAATATTTCACATAAATTAAAAAAAAGATGCCAGAGTAAAGGTTGGAAGACTTTCTACCAAACTTTATAAAATGAGTTGTCATGGGATCACCATCAATAAACAAAGTCATAACACAAAAGTACTAAGAAGAGGAAAAAAGTCAAACACTTATGTCCTGACCTCAAAAAGAAGAGACATTGAGCAAAATTTCATGGGAAAATTAACTCAGGGGGAGGTTTTGTAATAGAATGTCCCACACTCCCTATCACCTATGCAGATAGACTATATCAGTAGATATATATAATAAGCACAGGATATGCCTGGCAGACTTGCTTCAGGAATTGCTAACCAATTCCATCTTTCAGTAGTGTATTCTCTTTTACAATAAACCTCTCAATCTTTCATCTATGCCTGTGTTGCTGTTCCTTTCACTACAGTACCACTTTTCACTGTTTGTGTTGTAGCCTTAAAGAAGGTTACAATGTCAGAATTGGGAATAAAAAAAACAAAAAAAAAAAAAAAAGCCATGAAAGTAGTAATTAAAACAACAGTACAAACCTCCATGTAGATCTGGTTTAAGCATAAAGATGGAATGCAGAAAAGTCAGGAGGAAAGATAAGAGGAAAGAAAGACAATCCAAACAAGATTTTTTTTTTTTATTTTTATCGTAGTGGTTGAATCCGCTACAGAGTTTGTCCCACATAGCTTCTTCCTAAGAACCACAACTGTCAGAGTGGAACTTCCTTCTTAATAAAAAAGTATGAAAGGGATGGTGATGGTTTGTCTATGTAGCATGATGGGTTTTAGCTGTGAAGGTTCGAACTGATGGAAATAACGAATGTCATGCATCAGAACGGAAAGAGCGACAGTAGTGAAAGATTTCTGAGATCTCATCAATAGGAAAAGGGCTGTAAGGTGGAAAACAATTCATCACCCAAAAGGCTGCATAAATGCTTTTAAACTCTATCAAGACTAGAAAGTGACAAGTGAGCTATGGCAGCAATAATTCATTTTATGGTTAAATCTGGCTTTTAAAAAGGTGTTTGTTTGTTTGATTGATTCATTCATTTTCTACAGTTAGTTAACCCTTTGCAGGTTATTTAAAGCCAGAAAATATTTTTTACATTGTAAAAAATGTTTTTTTGAGATAATGATTTTGTGATACAAGTCTTACTAATTAACCCATAGTTGGGGGTAGAAATGGTTGTTGATTCATACCTTTACCAATGGTATTTGCACATAAGTGAATATAGCAAACCCAACTGGAATTGGAACTCGGCTCTCCAATTAACAATTATGAGCCATTATCCATTGCACCAGCCACACATCCAAGCTTACAGCACCTGGTATTCCCAAGCAGTTATCCATCTAGCTACTGACTAGACTCAACATAGATTAACTTTGGTGATTGTACAGAAATCAGTGCTTCAATGCAGTATGACTGTAAGCCTTATGTATCTTGGTTTGGTTTACAGTATATCAACCTCAATGGGTTATTTAATGCCGACAATTTTCATTGCTGGTAATATTTTCTCAAAAATATATTGTTGATAATTTTTTTTCTTCTAAAATTCAATACTGGTAATAAGCTTTTACCAAAATGTATTGCTGATATCAAAACTTATTTCTACACTTTCATAGTGTTTTTACCTCAGTTTGAGGGGTCAATTATTCGCCCATAGGTGGGACCCTAACTGGTGCTACTACCCCAGGTCAAGGTAGACCTGAGAAAACCAGCAATTAATTCTACACTCCTCAAAACCTCCTGATCAGAGGCTTGCTGTTGGGTGTACTTTATCATCTTACACAGAACACTATATCTTAAAAATGTATACATATGTCAACAGCAGGCAATGTAAGTTTCATAAAAACATACAAGTATGTTAACAGCAGAAGTGTTCAATGTATGTAGCATTTTTTTTTTTTTCATTTTGGTCATGTGAAGGAGTAATGGATAATGGCTCGGATTGAGGAATTGGAGAGTCAAGTTCAAATTCCAGTCGAATCCATTACATTCACTTATGTGCTAATACCCTTGGGAAAGGTATGAATCCTCTACTTCTCTCCCTCCCCCCAGCTATAGATAAATAGCAGGACAAACCAGGTTTTATAGATTTGGATGGCAACTGGTCTACCACAGAAAGAAATGGCAACCTACTGCAGGATAAAATCTGCCTCGTCAGTCATGTATCAAAAGATACATGATTATCTAAGCATCTATCACACATGGCACATAACTGACTGACCCTTGGGAAAGGTAGGAATCCTCCTCTTCTCCTCCCCCGCTATGGATAAATAGAACAAATCCAGATTCTATAGCCAAGAATAGCAACTGGTGTACCACAAAAAGAAATGGCAACCTACTGCAGGAAATAATCTGCCTCATCAGTCATGTATCAAAAGATACATGATCGCTTAAGTGTGTATCACACATGGCACTGACTGTGGGAATAAGGAAACAGGAGTTAACGCACAAGATAATGAAACCACCAGGAAATTAATATCTTCAGCCTCATCTTGCATTCCTTATTACATATTCATCACTGATCTTGTTGCTTTTCATTTTAATGTTAACTGCTCAACTGTGCTAAACACAAAATTAAAGTACCCTACTTCAACAAACATCATTAAATGTGTTCACTGCCACACAATGCACACTTGTGGCATACTGCATATTGCCTCTAATGCATATGTGCATCCATACAATAACAATGCACTTGACTGGCTATTTATGGCATTGAATAGCTGCTATACTTATTCTGTTGTACTGTATGCTGCAAATATACCAGTGAATGTTAAGGATGAATGTTAATCACCTTCAAATCAACTCCAAGAGTTGTACCAAACCTTGCATTCCTGACTGCAAATGGGGCCATGCTCATATTTTCTGCACCACCGCACACAGCAATGTCACTCTCTCCCAACAAGATTTCCTGCAAAAAGAAAAAAAACATTACAATTTTAGAATCTTACTAAAAAAGGTAAAAACCCTTTACACTTACTCTTATTTAACAAGTATTTCAATGTGAGGCTGTTATCTGAAGCTCCAAAAATACCTCAGCCTAGCTACAGGTGAAATCAAGCTACAATGCCTTCAACTAAGACAACAGTTCACCAGTTCTATGTGAAGTATATAAAATAATAAATTATTTTCATTGGTTGTGAACAAGTTCTTTAACTTCTACAAACTATTGACTTACTTCTTGAAATTGAACTGAAAATGAACAACGGTTTCTAACATTACAATTGAAATGTGACAAAGTTGGAAGGGAGAGAACTTGTTTACACTATTTATATTGTTCGGACTGTTGTTCTTATCTTTATTATCATATTCACAATGTTTCAGCTGCTGCACGCTCCAGCCTTCTTCAGGTGATTGGAATTTTGAATCAAACCCTTTATTTCATCCACCAGGGTACATTGTTCAGACTGTTGTCCTCGTGTTAGTTGTTCATGTAAGTAGTATAAATAGTTACAATGCCTCATCTCAGAAATATAAGCAGAGAGGAAACTTGTGTATGAGATAGTTACAGATCTCCTACCCATAGTCCAAGGCTAGGTAAAGATAAAAATTTTCAATGTAAAAATGGCCTTGTGTCAGACTAAGACGAATAAATATCAAAACTATAACAAAAGCCTAATTTATTTAAAAAAAAAAACAATCAGTTTTTGTTTAAAAAAAAAAAATGCATTTTATGCATGGTGGTTTCAGATTGTCAATTTTTTTTTTTTTTTTTATCAAGGTTCATAAAAAAAAATTGACAAACTTCTTTGACACTTTAATAACAATTTCTGCACATGTCTATCAGTGTGCACTGGGCTCATGTCAGATGATGTAATTTTATAAATGAAAAAGCTTTCTTAAAGCTTTAATTGAAAGTTAAAGGATTAAATTTATTACTTCCATACTCCAGTGTATTTCAGACAGAAATTTATATTGATTGGAATCAATTTTTTTTTTCTAAGATAGCTGATTAGTATCCTTTTTTAGTTGTCTTTCATCACAATGTAATTCTCTGTATTAAAAAATCTTCCAAAAATAAAATATACTTTTCTGAAACGTTATTTAGAGTATTAGCTAATTTAAAGTACAATTAATCAGATTTGAAAAAAAATAATATTTACTTTAAACTAACACAGAAATGTACTTTTAAAACATAACAGTAGCCATGATTTTAACTGATATTGTCATGTTTTACATAATTGATGAGGCAATGACAGATTGAAGTTCTATGGAGACTTTATCTGTTAAAACATAACTTTAGAAAATGACAGGAGCACCTTTTTTATATAATTTCAAGTAATCACTAATCTTAAAAATGTTCAAAAATATTCTCTGTAATCTAATTTTAGGAATGTTGACTTGAAATTGACTATAGACATCACTCTTATTTTCTGATAAATATTGTGTATCATCAACCATACTTTCAAAAAAAAAAAAAAAAAAAAAAAAAAAAAAAAAGGGGCACATTATGTAATATTTTATATGCATAAAACAAAATTAAAAATTATTTGATTTTTAAAAGAATTTCCAAGTCAGTGTTTTTCACCAGAACAAAAAAAAAAAGGCGCTAAAACACTCATTGTAATATTACATCAACCAGTAACACAAAAAAAAAAAAAAATTTTAAATATTTCAAACATCCTACAAATGATTAAAAAATTTAATAAAATAATTAAAAAATACTCTGATATTTCCTCTTAATAAAAACAAGTTTTGACAATAAAACTGTTTTTTTATTAAGTTTGGGGCCTTTTTTCATCATGCTATGCTGTTTTATCAGCAAAAAAAGTAGGTTATCTCGTCTAAACCTGACTTGAAAATCCAAAAGAAATTATGCCAAAAATCTATGACATTAAAGTTAAATAGCAAATTCATAAATGGGTAATTGAATGACAAAATAAAAAAAATTTGTAACAGGTTTCATCCTTTAAAACGACTTCAGAGTAATGTTTTTATTGATGGAATTATATGTGTGTGTGTGTGTGTGTGTGTGTGTGTGTGTAGAGGGGAAATATAAACAAAAACATTGGTTATGATTATACATAGAGAGTAAACACTGAAAATATAGAGACAATAAATTTTAAAATTTCTGATGTCCAACGTGCATAGATGCTACAACTCAGCCAATTTCATTTAGCTTCCCAACAGTTTTGGTTTTGTCATTCAATTACTCAATATAGTTTTCATGAAATCATACATGGAAATGATATTTCGGCTCTTACCTGTGCCGCATTGATAATAGCTTGAAATCCTGAGCCACACAACCGATTGACTGTGAGAGCAGGGACATGAATAGGAACACCAATTCGAAGACCAACATGACGTGCAATGTAAGGAGCATCTGATGAACTCTGGAAAAAGACGGTCTCAGTCACTACAACTTGTTCATATCAAGTCAAAGCCCAATTTAAAATAAATACGAATTAAAAGGAACTTACCTGAATGACATTACCAACCACAACAGATGTTACAGCTTCAGGTTTGACATTCGCAGATTCCAATGCTGCTTTGGCTGCAATTTCTGTTAAGTCTGTGCAGGACATGTTCTTTAGTTTGCCACCATAAGTACCAAAGGCTGTACGCTTAGCAGCAACGATAAAGACATTTTGAACAGCTGCAGATGAAGTCAAAAAAAAAAAAAAAAAAAAAAAAAAAATTACAATTTCTAAATCATTGTCTTATATTGTGCTTTTCAGAAATTCATTACTTTAAAAAAAAAAGGGGGGGGGGAGGTTTATTCCAACATTTTAGTGTCAAGCTTGTTCAGAAATGGCTAAACTGTCAGCTATATACAACCACTTTCTCTGATCAATGATTAAAAACTTCAAGCAAATCAAGCCTGTAGGTCTTCTTCAAATCTCATGGATTGCTGCTACAAAAGCACAAAGAATTGTACCAAATAACAATTGATTTGTTTTTTTATGGCTTATCAACCTTTTGCAATTTATTTAAAGCCAGAAAATATTTTTAGATTGTAACAATTTTTTTTTTATTGATAATGGTTTATTGATAATTAATTAACTCTTAGCTAGGGGAGGGAGAAAAAGGTGGATTCATGCCTTTCCCAAGAGTATTTGCACTTAAGTGAATATAACAAACCCAACTGGAACTTCATTCTCTACTTTCTAATTCTGAGCCATTAACCAAGTTTTTGTCATATTACTGTCACTTTGCCTTGCTTGCTTTATATTATTTTTTTCCCTGTTCTTTTCTTTTTCTTGCTAACTTTGTCAATTCTGTTTCTTAGACAGTTCTGTCACTTATTTTGCATTTAACCATGGCTACTCACTCCACAACAAATCTACAAATATTTTCTGGCTTTAAATAATCTGCAAAAGGTTGATAAACTGTAAAAAAACAAATCAATCATTCACTTACCTGAAGAGCCTAAACAATAACAACTACAATGCAGAAATTCTAATGTTCCTATTTTATTTATAATGTAAATAGAAAGCAAAACTATTTCATATCATTTTTTTTTTATCTAAAATCTTATTCTCCAAAAATCAAAGTTTGGTTTTGTATGGATCCTGAAACAGATAATGTTCATCTCTTCATGCTCCTCAAATTTAATTTTAAGAATGACTCTTTTAAACATACTGGACATTACAACTATTATTGCAGTCCGAGATACAATCAACAACACTTACCATATGCTTGATTGAAAATATGCATATGGTGGGGGGGGCGCTTAGAAAATAATGAATAAAAAAAAAAAAAAATGTAACCACACTCAAACATCATCAGGTGGTGGCATTGAAGTCTATAAAAAAAAGCAGACATTTTCCTTCCACATGCTTTCCTCCCCTTGTTCCAAGATGTAGCAGTAGTAATATCTGTATTTTTTTTTTTTCTACCACAGACCATTTATTCTTTCTCTTAGAGTGGAACCTGTAGGAAAACAAACTTCTCATTGTTTCTTGGGTATGTTCATTTTCTTTTTGGTACAGGTGTCAGGGTAAGTAAGTATAAGCATCATATTAATGGTTGAGCTCAAGTTAGCCTTGTGCAGAGTTGGAACAATCAAAGAAAAGTTTGTACTTAATTCATTTGATTGATTTGTTTGTTTAACAGCATATCAACTATTTATGGGTTATTTAATGACAAAAATTTAATTTTCTTGAAAGCTTTGAAGTAATAAAAATATGTTATTCTGCTTTCACAGTTGAATACATGATAGATACTCAGCTTTTGTGCATATACATGTTTGTGCGGATATAATTACTAGAGGCCTTAACATGTGTTTTATGCTGTTTTGTTGAAGTTATATTTTGAAATACAGTTTCATTTCTTTAAGAAATTGTAGGATATTATATGAATTAATGTCATGAAAGAGTTCTTTCATGTTGGCTGCTTGATTTTGTTTAGCAGCAGATCAACCTCTATTGGTTATTTAATGCCAAAATTTAAATAATTTGAACACAATTTTATGATTTCAGTTAAATATATTTTGAACGCAATTGTAGGCCTTCAACTACAGATAAAATGTATTGCTAGTCATTTTGCTTTAAACAGGCATTTTCGGTTATTTTTTTTACCTATAAAATATATTGCTGTTATTCTTACTATAAAAATGTATTTTTATACTTTCATGGTGTTTTATTTGTGTTTGAGGGTTCAGTATTTGACCATAGCTGTAACCCTTACAGGTAGTACCACCCCAGGCAGGGTGGACCCAGCAACAGCAGCAATTAAGAGGTGGTTCCACTCCTCAAAACCTCCAATCTCCCAATCAAAGGCCTTACTTCCAGATGTAGTTTATCATCATACCCAGGACTTTTGGAACATGGTTATAATGCTTGAGTCAGCCTTGGAACAACCAAAGAAAAAAAACATTCATTTACTTCATAGGTGGAGGTTTTGGAAGACACATGCGAATACCATGCATTGAAAAATGGAAAGAAAGTTCAGTTGTCAGGTCAAAGAAACAAATGTTTCCCAGTGGGACATCATTTCCACATGGTGCTACATCTTTGAGCAAGAGAGAGAAAAAAGAGTTAGATGAAGGAAATGTTTGTCTTTTTATAGAGACAAACAACAACTAACAGGCATTTGATGGAGTCAACTGAGGTAATAACATTTACGGTTCCTCTATTACTAGTATCAAGAGAAAATGTACTTTTTCTTTTTTTATTATTCATATTATTTTCTTTTGTTTCCACACAAGTGTAACTTCCAATTCAAACTGTTATGGCTTTGGAAAAGGCATGTGTCCCTTCTCCTTTTCTATCCTATCTCCAGACTATGTTCACAAAATGCCACACCACTGGTGTACCAGGTTTGCTAACAAAAATTTTAAAAATTGCTGAATGACAACTCAAGCATAGTAACCCACTCTACTATAATTATTATAATTGCTCAAACATTACTAGTAAGCTTAAAAAAAAAAATGAAAGGGAAGCTGTTACAACTCTTATCAACCTAGACAGACATCAGATTCAACTACAAGACAAGACATGTGATATTCCAATTAAAAGAATTAGGAAATATTATTTAAACTCAGTATTGGTTATTCTGTTTAAAAAGGCACGTATAAATTAAAACAATTTCTTAGCTTTTTGTTACCCGAGTTTAACAAAAACATCAGGTTAGGAAAAATTCACTGCATTGTTTGAAATTGGTTGGTTGTTTTTTGCTGTTCTTATCACAAGAACAAATTTGGTTCAGGTCAATAGGTAACACTTTGAGATTCACTCAACAGGTTAATAGACAAATATTTCATTTAAAAAAAAAAGTGTTTTGGTTGCTGAGCAACTCTAAAGTATGAACAAGTTAAAATTCCAAGTAGGTCAGATCTACATTTAAAACTTTGAACTTGTCACAATTTCTTGATACTTATTACTGATAAGAATCAGCTTAAGATTTAGAAAAAAAATATTAGACAAAGATTTTACTTTGCCAAACCCCATTTTTGAACTTGTAGTGATTTATATGCATAATAAAATTTTGAAAATTAAATTAATAAAAAATATATATATATATATATATATATATATATATATATATATATATATATATATACACACAAAAATCAGGACATTTTTTTATAAATTTAATATCAGTACAATTTTTTTAACAAATAAATAAACTCAAACTTGAAAGAAAAATTAAAACTTGCATATTAACATGGAACAAACAGAGGAACATCCACAATGGATGTGATAAAATTAATAGTTTTAATAGACATAAGTCTGGAGCCAAATGAAAACTACATTTCTCATTGGCTAAAAATGATAACCACCATTCTGAAGTAGTACTACAAATAAAAGTTAAGGATAAAATGGAAATAACAGTTAAGAGCAAAACACAATCCACCCATTGATTGGGCAAAACACCAAAATGATTAATCAAATTCCAATTGGTCAGAATTTATACATCGGATTTCATAAACAGATCAACTGAGAAAGTACAAATAATATTACAATTCTTGCAATTACACAGCAGCTATAGCAGAATGCTAGCCAAGAAATATTCCCTCTTAGCTGAGCCTATGGAAGAAAAACTCTGACGTTATAGAGGCCTAAAACTTTCTGTGACCCCAGAATGGACATCACTGAGAAAGCATTCTGGTGCAATATATATATATGTGTATAAGATAAATGTATTGCATTTTCCAGAAGAGGGTTTGGCAAACTGAGGACAGTAACCTGCATGCAGCCTATCTAATGACATTCTGCAACCCACAAGAGCACAAGAAATATTCCTTATAAAAGTACAGTGATTTTGTCCAGTAGCACATTAACCTCCACAAGCCAATTAATGCCAAAATCTAAATACAAATTTATGACTTCACAGAGATAAAATTTACTGTTGGCCATTTTGCTATAAAATAGATTTTTGGTAATTCTGCTATAAAATTTAATGCTGGTCATTTTTCTTTAAAATTGTATTGTTGATAATTTTTTTTATATAAAAATGTATTGCTGTTATTTTAATAAATTTTATGTTTTTCTTTTTTATTTTGGGGGTTTTTTTATTTGCCCATCCATTTAAACCCTAACATGTGTTACCACCCCATATTAATTGTACCTGGGAACAACAGTGATTAAGAGGGGTTTCCATGTTTTTCAAAAGCTCCAATCTCTTAATCCAAGGCCTTGCTGCTGAATGTAGTTTATTATCATACCCAGGGTGCAATCTGAAAAATTAATCCCTAACAGTCCACCATGACAGTTTTTTTTATAATTTTTTTTTTCAATTTCAGAAGATGTTATATGTTACAGAAAAAAGATTGGACAAATCTTCTACCTACTGTATTTTATAGTTCTGAAACAGCACTACCATTGGGAGACCATTTGGTTAGTAATCCCAACATTTAGTATAAAAAAAAAATTTTTTGAAAATTTTGCTCTCAGGGATTTCATTATCCCCCCACCCCATAATATCAGTATATTCCTTTGAAATGGTTATTCAGAATTTTATTTTAATAATTCTAGTACCTTTTTTTTTCTTTTTTAATAATCTCCAGAATAAGCAATATTCTTTTGTTTTCCTGCTTATCTATTAATTTAACTTACATTTTTCAGGTACTCTGACCATTGAGAATTACAGCCACATCATGTTGAAACATTGGTTCCTGTATGATCACCAAAGTTAAGCAACATCGAGACTGGT